TTTCCTTAAGTCTGATGTTTTGATTTCCTTAAATTATATGAGTTTCCCTTTATTGTTCAGATACATTTCTTTCAGAAAACTAGAGCTAATTTTTCTTTTTTGCAAGCAAAACTCCTAAGTAATAAAATTGGGTTTTAAAAGAATATCTTGTTGACCTGGGGAAAGATTTACAACAAAGATTTACTTAGTGAAAAAGCAGCATTCAAAATAAGGGTTCATCACAAATCAATAAATTAGTATATTTTGCAGAACAAAATTAGAAATGTATACATATATCAAAATATGTTTATATACATACATTTGATAGATTATATAAATATTAAAATATATATTTGTGTATAAATGTAACAATGCTTTTTCTCTGGGAAATGGTGTTATTTATTTTTGTCTTCTATTTTCAAATATTTGTAATCAGAAACATATTTTTGGATGGGGAAACTCTCATTAAGATCTCAATTTTAAATTTTAATGGCTTAAATCAAAAACTTACAAAGGATATCAAATAAATTCAAGAACCAAGGGAAAGAATAAAGTGAAGTTTTCTTTAGCCAAACAAACCCTGCAATTGCAATGTGGAAAAACAGTTCACTACTGTTTGATTTGTTTGTGCATCAGCCAGGCCTGAGGTAAAGAGGAAAGGCCATAGATCTTTTGAAAGTTTTATTTCCACACTTGCACTTTGTTTATGGCTGATGAAACTGGAATTTTCCTCATAATAGTCCTCTGAATTTTTTCATCCTTACTTCCCCCCTTATTACATTAAGTTCCCTTTCATTTGCAACTTTCAGTAAACCCAGCAAAAATCTGCTTAAGCCAGAGTGAGAGAAAGCGAGAGAGACAAGGAAACTCCAGGAAAAGTGCAAGGATAAAGGTAATTTCATAAAATTCTTCAAGATGTGGTCTCCCTATATTAGCTTTTCTTTTTTAGTTTCTAGCACTAAATGTGCAAACTCCTAAAGTCTCCCTTAGTGATATCTCCAGCTGCTTCAAATCTACACCTTCTCTGATTTATTGCATGCACCAGATATGTGTTTTTTTTTTTTCTTCAATAATTTCAATGTTCAAAATGAAGGCCTTTGGAACAACTGTCAGTCAGGGGGTTCTGATTGGCCTCGCCAGTGTCACGCATGTGGGGCCACCCTACTAGTGCAGAGGACACCCACTGGAAATATTTGCCTCCCGTTACCTGAAAAAACGCCATTCATTTTGAGTGGGCAAAACCAGTAAGTAGTCACCCCACCATTTATTTTCAAAATCATTACACATGCAGAAAGGTGGGAGTAAATATTGAAGGCTTGTCAATTCTATTTTATCTTGAAGTTCTGTGAGCAAACAATGAAGAAAATGATCACTATGAGGTATTAGAATGTTGGGAATCCGAGCTTAGTAATATCAACACAAAATTATTTAATATCTAGGAACATCAATTTTTTTTGTTGGAAAATGTGAGGGGGGAAAAGAGGGAGTGAGAGAGCTGAATAAGATGCGCTCTGAAGTATAAAAAGCTCTAGCAGTACCAAAAGTCCATGCTTCTAGATCTTTCATTTTAAGGTTTTGATAAATTCATGATTTGGATATTTTTCTGGGATAAGGGTAATGTGCAAAGAATAGATTAGAGCTCATTATGAAAACATGTTGCATTAATATCTGGTACAGAAATCATACATCAGCATCCAGGAGAATAGTGCCAAGCAAATTACAGTTGTCATTTTTCAGCGACCTCTAAACTGGGAGCTGTAGAAGGTGCTTAGATGGGAAGGTAATAATAGCCAATCTTTACTGATCATCTGCTGTTTTGTGTGGTCTCGAACACTGAGAAACCAGATTCAGCAGTATACATTGTGACCACAAAGTAAAATATATGAATGAGAAAATGGTGTGTTGCAGAAATAAATTCTAGCCTTTTACCCAGGCAGGGGAAGAACAAGCAATAGGCACTTCAGGAATGGTGAGGTCAGGAGAAGCTTTATTACTCATTCATGAGGTCTCAGACCTGAGTAGTCCTGTAAGGTCTGAGCACCAGTCTGAGGACAAATAGTTTCTTTTATACATAACCGATGGAGTTTTGTAGAGTTGCGGGGTCCTTGGGTTCACTCTGGGGAAAGTGTCACCAGAGCTCCCGTTTCAGTGGCATGCAGCAAGTTCCCCAGGCACGTTTCTCCACGAGACAGAGACATTAGTTATATTTAAAGAGCAGGTTTATTAGGGAAAGGAAAAAGGGACAGGTTTTGCTAAGAGAGGCCTGCATGTTGCAGGCAGGCAGCCTTGACAGCTCACGGGGCAGGCAGGAGGCTGCTGCCCTGCAGAGGGGGAGAGTTGGTGAAAAGAGGCACCTGCATAGTCACAGGTGGGCAGTGGGAGTGCTGCCCGATCCTGTGCAGAGACTGCATTGATATAGTCCTTTTTTTTTTTTTTTTTTAAGATTTATTTTTTATATTTATTTATACAAGCACTGGGTACAGTCAGAAGCACGGGAGGGTGAGAGAATTCACCAGAGCCAGAGCAGGGAACAGAACAGGCAGACTGACGAAACACACTGCTGAGGGGAGCAGCGGGCGGCAGGGAAGGTCTGCACGCCATGTGGGACCCTCGCCATCGGCCGGGGGTTGAACCAGCGCTGCAGAGGCTGCAGGCAGCTTCGCAACCCAGCGCTCAACCGCTGCGCCACCGGGGAGGCCTGATATAGTCCTTTTCTCTTTGGGAGGGGACACTCCTCCGTGGGGTGGCCTGTTTGTTGCTGATGTTGGGTAACAGGCAAAACTAGAAAGGGACCAGAGATTCCAGGGCGGGCCCAATCTCCATATCTTTACCCTCAGGTCTGTGCTCCACTCCCTTGAGCATCTGATCCTGCTTGGGTCTCATGCCTTGTGATAAGGCACTGGTGCCTAAGGGTCCGACCTCTACAGCTGGGTTAATGGTCATGTTATTCCCCTGAACCCCCACCTCCTTGTGTGAGTCAGGTTTTGTTCTTGGGACACCTCCTTTCCAGTCTTTCTATTCTTGTCCTCCATCAACAACCATCTTACGTTGATAAAGCTGGTTAGTTAGCATACAAATTCTTGACACAGGAAAAGAGGAAGGATGCAGAGGATGGCCTGGGAGATCAATCAGCCTAGCAGCTGCCCGACCTTGTTTAGATATGCTTATTAAGGAAGCAAACGTGCTATTTACATTTCCAGGTCTATGACTCTTAACAGGAAAAGATTTCCTTTTCTTAGCAGTTCCCTTTCAAGTGGATTAGCATCCAAGGAGATTTCATGTACTTATACTCTCCAATCTAGTAATTGGCAGAGATGGATCCCTTCTCCCATCTCTTGAATCTTAAGCATCATTGTCTTTCCCCCTTTGAGGCTGTAACTTTTTGTGGTCTCTAAAACGGGAGTGCCTCCAGTCTTTTGTTTCAGGAAAAGTGTTCCCTACATATTATCTCTTCTACATTTGAAGCTCAGGTAATATATATATCAACGGAGGGAAAGTCTATAAATAGGCATAAATAATACCGAGAAGTTGTGACTTAATAAATTGATATTTATTATCTGGTGGAGAATATAAAATGTTGACATAAAAAAGAGCAAATTGGCTCTTTTCATAGTTAAATCCATAAATGCCATTTGTTGTGATCTTATAAAAACTGTCTTGTTAGGATGTCTTGTAGAAGAATAACAGTTGGTTAATGATTTATGATATTTTGAGACAGTGGTATTAATTTCTCTTTGTTTTTATGTAAGTCAGACTAAATGATCTTACCTGGAGGAAGATGTCTCTGAATTAAGAAGCACAACTAGCTGTAGCTCAACGTTTTTACTCTTCAGGTTGGTGCTTGTTCCTTATTAAATTCGAGTCGAGGACATAGATATCCCAGCAAAGCTGTCTCCAAAGGTAATTTCAAATGAATCAAGCCCTAGGGGAATCAAGGCAAAAGTTTCCTATGCTCATGCTAATTTGAGTATGTCTCTTGTTGCCAACGGCAGTAACAGAACCCACAGCAACCAGCATGTTAATTAAGTAGCTGGATGTACCTATTGGGAAAGAAAAGCAGAATAGGTCACCAAACCTAGTTCAGACACACGATTTCTTTCTATTCTATATATTCACAACAAAGTGATTATACAGGCTCAGGTAAATCTCAAGAGGTCAAATAATGATTCACAAGTCAATTGGAAAATTTCCACTTTAGATGTAGCCATTATTTTGGTAATTCCATTGATTGCTTAATTATGGTAGTTTCCTTAACAGCAGGAGAAATGGAAACCATTCCTGCATTCCTGTAATTGCCAACAGGACGTTTTACACAGAAACCATCCAAAATGGAATGAAAGCTACCTCTACCTTTCAGTAAATGAGGTTTCTCAATCAATCAGCAATCTTTGCTGAGTGCCTGCTCTTGGGGTACGCTACTCCAGGTAAGCTCTGTGAGGTTAGATTTTTTATGTAGAGCTACGAGCGCCTCTTAAAAAGTTGTAAGTTGGGGAAATCAGTCTGCTTTAAGAGACAGACTTGGAAATCAACCAATAAAGCAGCAATATGCACATTTGCCCCACTGAGATTGCATTACCTTTATTAATTGTAACCTGATTGAAGAAAATAGCCACACTTTTAAGTCATTAAGTGAAAATCTTATACAGGTTTGATTTCTTGCTTCCTAGGTGTCTGGTTACATTTGAAAAAGTATTTACCAAGAAAATGATTCATTGTTGAGTGTCAAATTCATACATTACTGTATGGCTTCTCCTAAAGCCATTCAATCTTTGCCTCCTCTGTGATCCTCTAGCAATGTCTTCAAAACTCTGCAAAAGCATTTACATGATTTTCTTTTATTTAACTTTTTATATAGCTGTCTCCTTCACTAGCTAGTGATATCCTCGATAAATGCCTTGTCTCAGAGAATTGTGATCCTGTAACAGGGTGGTCCCCAGGAAAGGGGGTGGTTCCAGGTTTCCTGCCCCACCCAAGGGAGGGTAGAACTGAGCAGGGAGAGAAGTAGCTGCAGAGGAGACTGAGGAAGGAAGGAAGCAGGATGGAGAGCAAGAAGGAGCCCTGGAGGAGGCACATGGAGCCTAGAGAAACATGAAGAAACTACACTTGCCTTTTGGTCCTGGACTGGGTGACACAGGTGTGGGTGAGAGACCCGTGGGGAGGTTACAATGGCGGTTTTTGTCTTGATTTTGATTTTGCTCTTTTCCTTCCAGACTTGTCTGGTTGTTTCTGATGCTTTTCTGTGGAACCCACTGGAAGATGCTTTAGACTTGTGGCAGGCTTTAGGGCCTTGCTCTGGGCCAATCCCATTTGGATGGGGTTTTACCCACGAGGGGACGGGTAACTTGGGTGCTTGATTTAGAAACTATATTCTTTGCCTTTCCTGTATTGTTTCCTAATTGTTTTAAAGTCTCATATGTTTTATGTTGATGGGGCAGATGGCAGAAACTATTTAGAGCAGGCAGGTTTGTGGGGCCTGGGGTGCCCCTCTCCCTGTCCTCTATAACAGTCCTAAGTACATGCCACAAATCCTGACCCAAGTGCAATCAGTGCAAGTTTCTTGTACCCCTAAATAAAGGAAAGACTTCTAAGGGATGCACCTAGTTTCTGCCATTCTTTACCTAAAAGTTAGAAGCAACTACTTTCCATGTCTTCTGTATATGGCAAATATTAGCAATTCTTACTGGTTAAGACTGCTTTCTGGAGTAAAATATCTGCATTCAAATTCTAACTCTGCTACTTCCTAGCTGAGCCATCTTAAAGCAGTTACTTAACAGCCCCAAGTCTTATCTTCAAGTGTAAAGTTGGTATAGTAATAATATTTCGGGGTTGAGAGGTCCTAGTTCTTGACTATTACAGGAAAGAATTCAAAGCCATGTCCAAGCAAAGCAGAGGCAGCAGCAATGGTCTACTTGGTATACTTGGGAGGGATCTGAGGGGACAGAGTCCAAGGTTGAACAGCTACCACGAATTGCTTACATGGGATTTGGAGTTTCTCACTCAGCCCCATTCTGCAGGTACCCTTGGAAGGGGGGTTTAGTCCTCACCCTCCACTGTTGCAGGTGCTTCTCGCCCTACTGCCCCCTATAGGTCAGGACAGGTGTCTGGCAGGATGCTTGTGAAATCATCCTCCCAGCTGCTGTGGGAGCTCTTTGGGGTGTTGCTTTATTGGCCCCAAGAGTTTCCTGGACTCTTGGATATCAGTGTAAAGTCAACCCTGCTGTCAATTATCTTAGGGAATGCTCCCTGCCCTCACCACCTAACAATAAGACCTGCTTCATGGAGGTTTTGTGACAATCCAGTGAAAAATAATTAAATCTCTTAGTAAAAAGATTTCTTCATTTTTATGTATATGGTGATGCTTTGGGGTTTACCATATTACAATTACTATTGTTATTATTACTTAAATATTTTACTGTGTGATTAGAAATTATATTTAATGCATAATAAATAATGAAATTTTATTACAGGAAGGCTACTGATTTAAGGCTGTTGATTTGGGAAAATTCCAGATAATATTAAAGCTGAAAATGAACAGTTGCAGCAGGGAGCTTATGCCAGCTTCCCACTTTCATTGTTCATAGGTCATTCTTTACAGGTAAGCAAGTCTGATATTCCAGTTAGTCTTGGGTTCATCTTTTGAATTGATTGGTCATTATCTTTAGGGTTTTAGCAAGTGGGTATCTTATTACACAAACTCTAAAATAGTGATGGGGTGATGTTATTGTTTTGCTGTGTTTTAGTAACATTTTACTGCAAACTTCCTCATATTTCCATGTATATCATTGTGGATATATCTGGATTATGAAAGATTTGGAAAATGAGCGATTAACTAAAAAAGGTGATTATTTAGTATTATTCTATTGTTTTTTTTCTTCCCAATTCCAACTTTTGAAAACCTGTAGATATGCTTGGTTTATGTGTAGGAATATGGTTGCCAGTGGAAATTTTATTTATATATGGTAATGCTGCTAAGTGAAAAATCCCCACGTATGCAGATTATATTAGAATTCTATAGTCTATACTCTATTCTGGCTAATGCTGATTTTCTAATACTAGCAATGGTGCATATTTAAAGCGTGCATTGGTATTATTTTATTGCCATTTTATATTAAGTGTCATCTGCCAATATAAAGGTAATACTCCATGGGACAGTTATCCTTTCATTGTCTTTTGAGAACTTTTTTTTTTTTTTTTTTTTTAAAGATTTATTTATTTATTTATACAAGCACTGGGTACAGTCAGAAGCGCGGGAGGGTGAGAGAATTCACCAGAGCCAGAGCGGGGAGCAGAGCAGGCAGAAGGACCGAAGGACACTGCTGAGGGGAGCAGCGGGCGGCAGGAGAGGTCTGCGCGCCATGCGGGACCCTCCTCCGGTGGCTGGGGAGCAGCCGGGGATTGAACCGGCGCCACAGAGGCTGCAGGCAGCTTCGCAACCCGGCGCTCAACCGCTGCACCACCTGGGAGGCCCTCTTTTGAGAACTTTTAAAAAATCAACTTTATTGAAGTATAATTTGCAAATAGCAAATTCCTTTAGTGAATATCACTTTTAAAAATGGGGCAGAAATGAAATTTGATAATCTTTTGTTAGGTTCCATTTTTGTCCTCTTCTTACTTCTATCAAATAAATATTGATATCTACTGTGTCATTATTGTGTTAAGAAAGAGATAAGAATAATAAATCATTCCCTAGGATATTTCATTTTGGGAGACAGGAATAAAAATATGTCCTTTACAATCCAGTCACTGCTGCTGGAAAGGCTTAGGAAAAAAAATTGACAGTAACAGAAAAAAGAAGGAAAGTTGGAAAACACATCACAAAAATGCTGTTCTGAATTCAATTATCTTTATTATAATTCCTTCTGCCTACTTTAGAAAACACATTTGTCAGAAAGAATTTAGAAAATATAGGCCTCCCCAGTGGCGCAGCGGTTGAGCGCTGGGTTGCGAAGCTGCCCGCAGCCTCTGCAGCACCGGTTCGATCCCCAGCTGCTCCCCGGCCATGGGAGGAGGGTCCCACATGGCACGCAGACCTCTCCTGCCGCCCGCTGCTCCCCTCAGCAGTGTACTTCGGTCCTTCTCTCTGTTCTGTTCCCCGCTCTGGCTCTGGTGAATTCTCTCACCCTTCTGCACCTCTGACTGTACCCCAGTGCATGTATAAATAAATAAAAATAAATCTTTTTTTTAAAAAAAGAATTTAGAAAGTATAAAGGAGGATATTTACTTTATTAATCTGCATTTTGGATGCTAGCAACCTCATATGGCTCAAAATCTCAATAAGAAGTGCCTTTAAAAACAGGGAAACTGTATGATTTGCTTGATAACACCCTTCCTAGAGAGGGGTCACTTACTGATAGGTTCCCAGAACAAGCCGTACCTAAGTGTAAACTTTTTTCCTGGATCAAACAAATGTGCTTCCTTGGAACAAGAGAATGGATATGAGATGAAATGGATACTATAAGAGGCCTGGGATAGGTGGGGATTCCATTAAATGAACAGAAACATAGAGAAACAGTAGTTTTTACTATTTCCCTAGCATTCACCATGTGCTGTGGCTTCTAAGTGCCTCGATGAATTCTCAGAGCAACCCTAGGAAGGCTTTCCACAGAAACCGAGGTAAGAGGTGCTATGGCCACCACGTTAGATTAAATTTTTGTTCAATATTCATTGTTCTCTACTCTCCCTCCCCAATTCCATTGATGCTTAATCTGGTCATGTGACTGGCTTTGACTATGTTGTGGTCAGTGTACATCCCTTTATATAGAAAGAGTTGAGGCTTGGTCATGTGCTTTGTGTTAGCCAATAGATGCAAATAAGCAACAGAAGCAGAGACTTGAAATGTACATGTAGGTATGGATTCTCTTGTTCTGCCTTTGCCATCACTTTGAGATGGACATGCTCTCCATCTCCTGCTAGTGCACAGAGGTTCAATCTGGAATCAACAAGTAAATTGGACAGGAAATAATGGGTTATTTTCAAACATCCCAGTAAAGAGAATCATTTGAAGGATGAAAGAAATCAAGAGAATCTAATGGGTCTGGAATTAAAAGAATACCTTATCAATTAAAGAACTAAATCTTGGTACAGTATTTCATTTCTGTGCTTTCCTATAAGATTATTGTGAAAAACTAATAGTCATCAAAGCTCTTTGAAAGTGTTGTTAGTATTATGAAAACACTAGTTTTTCTTTGAGTATATTTTGCTTCTTATGGTGTCTCAGTGCCTAGAACAGTATCTGGTTTGTAATGGGTGCTCAGTAAACAATTGTTAAATTGGAGTAAATTCTTTTCCAGTGGTGTCCTCTGTTCATAAATAATAGAATTACAAAGGCTGTTCATCATTATGGAAGTTGTTCATTTCTATTGTTCACAAGATGGGGAAAATGGCAAGGAAGTCACCTCCTTTTAAGGCAGTGGAATTGTGCAGGATATGGAAAGTATGTGCAGTTCCTACCCCCACTACCTAACTACTGGTCACCAAGCTAATGTTCTATAAATCCTTACATTGAGTGAAAATATTGTTGGAGTCTTATGTTAGGATATTTTCTGCCCCAGAGATTGTTTTATTAATGGGAAACTATTTGAATTTAATATTTGTGCTACAGTTAAAAAATGGAACTTTATTTTTAAAATAAACACAATACAGAAAACAACCAAATGAGCATCTGGATTTGAAAGTTTAGGTCATTGGATAGAAAGAAAATGTCCATTTAACTTGTCCCTTCTTTGTTTACCGCAAAGCAAGCTATAGCCAAATGAGATGTCTCACTTTTACGGTATTTGCATTTAACTCACTTATGATTCAGGTCAGGGGGATGGTTAGTTTGGGTTCAGGCTGGCTAGGCAGTTTGTTGTTCACACAAAATCACAGAGAAATTCAAGGACCAGAGATGTCATTTATCTTGCTCTACTTTCTATTATGACAGGGGCTGCCTTTCTATCCCAGAACTTGTATCCCAAATCATCTCTGATGATTTCCTGAGAAAAATGCTGGTATAGATAAAAGGTTATATTAACACCAAACTTTCCTGCTGAAATATTAAAGGGAAATATTTGAGCAGTATTGCATCGCTGACATGAAACTGACTAACAATCTGGAAGCAATAAATTTTTTTTTTTTTTAAAGATTTATTTATTATTTACTTATTTATACAAGCACTGGGTAAGTCAGAAGCGCGGGAGGGTGAGAGAATTCACCAGGGCCAGAGCGGGGAGCAGAGCAGGCAGAAGGACCAAAGTACACTGCTGAGGGGAGCAGCGGGCGGCAGAAGGGGCCTGCGCGCCATGTGGGACCCTCCTCTGGTGGCCGGGGAGCAGCCGGGGATCGAACTGGCACTGCAGAGGTTGCTGGCAGCTTCGCAACCCAGCACTCAACCGCTGCGCCACCGGGGAGGCCCGGAAGCAATAAATTTTACTTAAGTATTCGTGGTAGCGAATGTTTCATCCTGTGACAAATATTCTCCAGTGAAGGCTTTGGATGAAACTCCTTCTGTCTCAGCTAAAATCTTTTAATAGCTACTCCTAATCCTGAACCATCTCTGGTCTCCAGTTAATATGTGTTATAAAATGTAATTAAATCTACCAATGTCATTAGTCTATTAAGAGTTATAGACGAATCCTAGTATTGAAAGGGAGGAAAGAAAAGATCAATTCTTCTCATTGTTTTTATTGTAGACTTTCAACATAATAATTTCTTTATTTCCGGAAAATATTTTACCTGTCCCAAAGATCACATATATGTTTGCAGTTCTTGACTTGGAAACTATAAGGTAATAAACAACAGGAATACAAATATAACTCATATCTTGGATTCTTTGACAGGATCCAGGGTATTAAAGTAGTTTTACTGTTCTCATGAAAGCTTAGCTACTTTTATGGTCCCTAGACTCCATAAGAAACAAAAGCTAAATGGGAAGAATTTAATTGCTGCACCTCCCCCTGCAGTGACCCTTAGGGCTAATGGCTTATGACCAACCGCCATGGTCCCTAGGTCCGGCTGGGCAACCAGCGTGCAGGGGGAGAACAGCAAAACCCCCTGAAGACATAGATAAGAGGGAAGCCTGTTGAAAGATAACGACCACCAGGAGCCACTACAGGAATGCTGTCTGCAGGGAAACTTATCTCGCCTTCTCAAGGCCCACAAACTTTATTCTAATACAACTGTCTCTCTAAAATCTTTTCTCTTTCTCTGTCTAAAAAGGTCATTGGTTTGCCGATTAAAAAAGAACATACGAAATCTAATAACTAGGCTGATTCAAATGAAACGATACTAAACTCTGTGTATTAATAGAACTGTTAGCTTAATAATATCTCTGTTATATGCTTAGCCTTGTTAGTATTAATCTTAATGATAAAAATATTACATTGTGAAAAGTAAAATTCACCCGTGCTAATTAATAGTAATTTAGTGGTAGTGAGTAGTTTAAACAAAAAAGTATTCACATAAAATACACAGAAAAATTAATAGCCTAACTACTTAGGAATGCGCCTGAGTCCAGATGTAAATCACTGCTCTGTCAATGATAAGCTAAACCTATAAGCAAGCTGATTTCTTCACTGATGTTCGCCATTCCTATGCTTTTAGAAAACATATATATACTGGTCACCAACTCAAATTAAATTACACTCAGATTTTCACTCTTGAAGTGTGTCTGTTTGTCATTTCTTTAACTGAATCCCTGACCACCCTGCGCAGTCTCTCAACCCTGAGACGGCCTCATCGTTCACTGCTGTGCAAGTCTGTGGCATTTAATACTTTATTAAGGACTAAAATCTTTCTTTAAGAGGAAAAAAGGACCAAAATTTTTAAGAATCTATAGAATTAGAAAGATATCAAAATCAAAGTGTTATTTTTGAAGTCTGGTAAAAACAAGGCATATCTAATAGAAAAAATTTCATAAACCCAGTGTTGTATAAACTCAAAAAACTGGGAGACTTTCTTCATTTTTGCCTAACATCTATTTCCCCATCAAATTATTTCAATATTCAATTTCCTGTATTCTAATTACTTTCTTTTCTTTGTTTCCATTGCCTTTGCCTTTTCCTGATTTCTTCTTACCTGTACAGTATAACCTGAGTGATGTTTTTATTGTAAAAATTAAACATATGAATTTAACTCTGATGTCTGACACCCATCATAGCTCTTAGGATAAAGGCCGAAACTGTACTATGTTTTATGGGGTCCTGTAGTGTCTGGCTTCAGTTCTCTGCATTCAAGTCACTCTGGCCTCTTTCAGATACATATGTCCCACCTCCTGTTTGTACAACTGTATATAAAATCAAGTATATTTGTATATATAGTATTGTTGACATTATCAGACATTCATATTTACAATATGTCTAATTATTTCATCCATGGTACGACCCACTCTACCTACACCCCAGATAATTTTGTAGAAAATTCTAGACATTGTGCCAAAGATTCTAAATCACACTATCCTAAAGATCTTTACTCATCCCTCTGTCACAGTAGGTCATAGCTTCCCGCTGTACTTAGCCTTTCTACTGCATACCAATTATTTAGCTTGTAGTAATACTTATGTTTATTTTTTTTTTGGGGGGGGGGACCCTCGCCGGGGAACGAACTGGTGCTGCAGAGGCTGCGGGCAGCCTCGCAGCCCAGCGCTCAACCGCTGCGCCACCAGGGGAGGCCCTGTGTATGTTTTTTGAATTAATGTTTATCTTCACCCTACACTTAATATCCATGCAGAGAAATTTTCTTTTTTGCTCATCATTCTGTCCTCTCCATTTACCACAGTGATTTTCTAATAGTGTTCTTTTTTTTTAAATTGATCACTTTTAATTTTTTTCTTTAAGATTTATTTATTTATTTACACAAGCACTGGGTACAGTCAGAAGCACAGGAGGGTGAGAGAATTCACCAGAGCCAGAGCGGGGAACAGAACAGGCAGACTGACGAAGAACACTGCTGAGGGAAGCAGTGAGCAGCAGGAGAGGTCTGCACGCCATGTGGCACCCTCGCCCGGTGGCCGGGGATTGAACCGGCGCTGCAGAGGATGCGTGCAGCTTCGCAACCCAGTGCTCAACCGCCGCGCCACCAGGGGAGGCCCAATAGTAAGTTCTTAACAAACATTTATTGAATTAATTGTGAGGATTCCCATAACAAAACCCTATATGTTGCTGTTTTCATATCATTCTTCATTGTCTCATGACAAATATCAAAAGATTTCCTATACAGAGCTCCTCCCCTGTGGTACCTGTAGTCTCTTCACATTGAGATTTGTAGCTTCTCTTTGATTTTTCAGATGCTCCTGATAAGGTATTATTTTTCCAACAGGTGCACTCAGTCCTATTTTCAAAATGAATGTGCAGACAAAACATAACTAATACCTATCTTTTTGCTTTTTTAATGATCATTAACTCTTTGCTACATATCATAAAACTATTTGCTTCACTGAATGTAGAACAACCTTGTTCTAGAAAGAAGCCTGTGGGAAAATCCTACTGACACAGTTTATTATGTATCATTGTAGAACCAAAATTATGATTAAATGAATAGGAAAAGAACTAATAGAAATTTTGATGGATTGTCTTAGTAAAAATGGCTGTCAACAACACTACTTGATTTTACTTTCTTAATTTTAACTTTTTATTCTAAATCAAGCAAATATAATCTTCACATATTACTTTATTTATATAAACTAATATTATTTAAACTTTCTATTTTAGCGTAAGAGAAATTTACATTAAGATAAAAATTAGAGTGTTAAATTTTGTCATGTTTTTGAGATAGTAAAAATGCACTCAGATTTGGTATCACATATTTCTTAGAATTATTTTTTTATAATATGAGTACACTTTGCTCACAGAAAATTTAATATAAATATATATGGTCTTAATATAGCTATTCACTAGATTTTGCTATTTTGCAGTGTAATAGTGATATGTATGAGTCTCTGTTTATTGGTACTTCATAATAACTATACCCTATTCTAGTTGTTCTGCAAAATGATGGCATCATATACATCATATAGGATTAATAAGTGTAAACTGAAGAGGTTTGACCTCTTCCTATAAATTGCAAAGGGTTGTAATCCAGCATTACCTCTATAAAAAATAATGCAATTTAAAAAATTTTTAAATAAGTGTAATAATGGTGTCATTTAGAAGATAACACTGTTCAGAGGGAGAATAAATTTGGAGCAGTGGATGGAAAAGCAAATCTATGGAGTTAAATATGCCTCCAAATCATAGCAGTATGTATTTCATTTGAGACATCCATGTGGTTATATGAGGAGGAATTGGCAAATCCTTCGGTGTACCTACATGGATACTACTGCCCTTTAAGACTACAAATATTTCCTTTTACAAACACGCTTGCTCTTACCCCGTCACCGCCACTACAATTGTTTCTATTCCTTTGGCATAAGATTGTTCATCTTAAAATAAAGGATGCTACATCCACTTTTGAAGCACTCCATTTATTTAGCTGTTTATCAGTGATAATTAAATGGGAAATATTAGCTTTCCTAATTTCATCACCTTAAATCAGAAATGCATTATATAATTAACATATCTTAAATTACCTTTCCCTCATTTGGCAAATAATCTTACTAGCTATACAAAATTGTTGAGTTGATTCCTCTTCAGTTATTTAACATTTGAAAGGAAGTGTTAGTATGCAATGTCATTTCTAATTTCCATCAAATTGGATTTTTCAAAGGACTTTTAAAGACTATCATTGACCTTGGTAGAAATTGATACTGTATAAAATTTAATTACTTCATCTATCCAATATGGTATGTTCAAAGCAAGTGTTCTTGAGAAAATGCAAATTAATATGAGAATTTAATTTTTTTTAACCTGGAGTATGCAACTAAATCTGGGACAAAGATACTTTAGCAATTATGTAATATGTGAAAAACAAGTCATGTAAAATTCCTGATTATATTTATACTGACATCTCTATAGCATCAGACTTACTGAAGATTAAACTCTAGTCTTTTTTTTTTTTTTTAAGATTTATTTATTTATTTATACAAGCACTGGGTACAGTCAGAAGCGCGGGAGGGTGAGAGAATTCACCAGAGCCAGAGCGGGTTGCAGAGCAGGCAGAAGGACCGAAGTACACTGCTGAGGGGAGCAGCGGGCGGCAGGAGAGGTCTGCACACCATGTGGGACCTTCCTCTGGTGGCCGGGGAGCAGCCTGGGATCGAACCAGCGCTGCAGAGGCTGTGGGCAGCTTCGCAACCCAGGGCTCAACCGCTGCGCCACCAGGGAGGCCCTAAACTCTAGTCTTTTAACTGCATTTCTAATAGATGCATTTCAGTTTGCAAGTACCTGACCAAATTAAATTAAAGATACAGCACCATCTTATGGATAGTTCTATATTTGTAAAATTTGAAAATATAAAAATCTTTTTGCACTTAGGAATGAAACTCTTTATCATTAAAAAATTAGGGAAGGAAAATATTTTAATGTAACAATGAAAAATGATATAATATTGAATAACTCAAATGTGTATATTTGTGTGCAACCATATGTGTGTTTATGTATGTGCATGTGTCCATATGTTTGTAATGTTATGGTAAATAAAGGCACAAACTGATTTTTAATTCTTTTCTCCTTTCAAAATTATGATTTCTACTAAGGAGGAAAATAAACAATTATTCTTTCAATACAAATTAATAATTGTGTGGAATAAAACATGAGATCAGTTTAAATGATACTGGGACCACACCTTTCATCACCTTGTTAAGATGCTTTAAATCTAGAAACTTCTGAGAAGTAGGTCTGCTTACTAGCCATGAGGCATATATTCTAGAAAATGTTGAGAAATTTAGGTATGATAATAAACCCATTTAACTATCTGTTAATTTTGTATATCCGGTAATAAAGTCTCCTTATATTTATTTTGAATTTAACTATTTTCCTTAATGAATTGTTATTACTTTCAGATTTTAGATATAGTTATTTTTGAATAAACACTTCCTAATAATCCCTTTAATAATTTTTTTTTAAAGATTTTTTTTTATTTATTTGTACAGCACTGGGTACAGTCAGAAGCGCGGGAGGCTGAGAGAATTCACCAGAGCCAGAGCAGGGAGCAGAGCAGGCAGACTGAAGTACACTGCAGCGGGCGGCAGGAGAGGTCTGCGCGCCATGTGGGACCCTCCTCCGGTGGCCGGGGAGCAGCCAGGTATCGAACCGGCGCTGCAGAGGCTGCGGGCAGCTTCGCAACCCATCGCTCAACCACTGTGAATACCACATTGCCAGTTTAAGGTACGTTATAAAAAAGTAACAGATTAAATTACCTAATTATTAAAGTGTAGTTATGAATGTATGGTTCATATTTTAATCTTTAGTTCACCTTGTGATGAAATACAGGCCTAAGCATTAAGGATTTACCCAGTTCATATAGTGTTGACTTACTCCATCCTGAGAAAAACTCAAATACAATTGTTCTTAATTTTTTGATGTCTTGAACCAATCAAAAAACTTTGGAATCTCACCTTAGTAAAATTCCATGGATACAACACATTTTATTTATAATTTTATGGGACTGTGGACTCCTGGAGAGTTCATCCATCCTCTATGGTTTAAAATAATATCTTTATTTTAATGTTTATTTTATTAGGTGATAATTTTTACAAGTGAGAACAAGGGACTTAATTAAAAAATATTAACATTCTTATGTAATTACACACACACACACACAGAGGCATGGTTATTTGGACTTAAATCACTTCCCCCTGCAGCTAAATTATATTGAGATATGTAAGTAAAGTGTTCTTATTGGTTTATTTTTATATAGATTTTATTTTCATGGTATTTTTGAATAAGACAGAAAAATGTGATTTTGACAACAAACAATATAGAATTTTGGCTTTATCCTCACAAGTTAGTACAGGTTCTGATGAGCAATGGTCTAATTGGGGATAATTTTCTATATAATATAGACTCTTGGTCCTAAATTTCTAAATTTTGTTTCAAATATAAACTTGTCAGAAATTAAAAAAAAATCATTCCTACATTTCCTCACTAATAGAAAAGAATACAACAAAGTTGAAACATTCTAAATTATGTTCACTTCAGATATATGGGTAGTTTATAAGTTAAGAAGAAATCAAGGGAAATTTATTTATTTTTATTTTTTTATTTTAAAGATTTACTTATTTATTTGTTTGTTTGTTTATTTATTTATTTATACAAGCACTAGGTACAGTCAGAGCGTGGGAGGGCGAGAGAATTCACCAGAGCAAGAGTGGGGAGCAGAAAAGGCAGAAGGACCGAAGTACACTGCTGAGGGGAGCAGCGGGCAGCAAGAGAGGTCTGCGTGCCATGTGGGACCCTCCTCCAGTGGCCGGGGAGCAGCCAGGGATCGAACCGGTGCCGCAGAGGATGCGGGCAACTTCGCAGCCCAGTGCTCAACAACTGCGCCACCAGGGGAGGCCCGAAATCAATGGAAATTTAATACATTATACATAATAGCATTTTGTTTAAATTCAGACCCAAGGCCATATATGAAATTAAATTTTAATTTGTCATGTTATCAAATACAAAATTGTATTTAAAAATTATTATTAATGTTCCAGAACAATTTTGCTAATTAAATATTGCTTTCATTTGTAAAGGCAAGTTATATTAAAATTCATGAAAAAAATAGAAACCTGATGATTTAAAATAGAAATGAAAATATGTTCTCAATCTATCCTTTAACTATAGTTAAATTCCATGGATTATATTGGTTCAACATTGTGTAATACCATATTTTTCTCAAAAGTGAGTGAACTTGTCACTTCAAGGAAAACAACTGACTTTGGAGTAAAATTTGGACCTTTGGACTTTCAAGTAAAAATTAGAATTTTGTATGAGCTTTATAGTTTCCCAAGACTTCATGACATTTTGATGAGGTTGGTGATTACTGACAAAAGTAATTCTTTTGATATAAAATCTGTCAACTTTTGAGTGATCTGCATTGATGCCAGTAAACCATTATTTCCCAAATGATGGATGAATTCTGTGGCAAAACTCATGTATCAATAAAAAAGCCATTCAAAGCGTGATATTTTAT